TGCTCGGGACCTCTATCAAAGGTGAGGGAGTCAGAGAGTGAGAGGAAAGTATGGTGGAGAGACAGGCAGTGGGAGGGCTGGGAAGAGAGCGGAATTGGTGAGAGAGGCACTCCTAGGAACCCCAGCAGGGCCAATGGAAGGGCAGGTGTGGCCCTACCCTGGCAGGTCGGGCAGCAGTGCCCAGAGGGGATGAATGGGTGGCTGCAGCCCGGGGGTTCACAGGGCCGGTGGCCGCAGGTCACGAAGCCTCCAAGGCAGGTACACAGGTTGCAGGGTTCTCGGGGATCTGGGAACTCCTGGTTACTCAGGTAGGACTCCCCCAGGTACTCACAGCCTTTCAGAGAAAAGACAGAGAGGCCGAGGGGAGGGACAGAAAGGGATCAGAGCACAGCAGTCGTAGGCTCTGAGCTTGGGCCTGTTATGCGTCCAAGATCTCAAAGATCTAGAGTAGGGGGTGGGGGTCACAGTCCAAGCCCAGGGAGCAAAGCAGTCGTGAGGGATTCGGGGTTTGGATTGGCCAAACGGCAAACTTTCTCCCCTTTGTCCTGCAAAAAACTTTCCTATTTAACTTGTAGAAAAACACCCACAAGGAATCTGCTGCCCCAGGGTTAAATACTCAGCAGGCCACTGCCAGAGGCACCAGTTTTCCAACCCGGAGAGCTGGGAGTAGCCCCAGCTCACTCAGGTGGTTCGAACCCAAGGTAGCACCTTTCTCACACTCTTCCAAGCCCACTGATGAATCCAGGAGGGGGTGGGGTCCCAGGGTGGTGGCAGCCTGCCTTTGGCACCTCTGCCATTTGCTCATCTCCCTTTTTAAAAAAGAGAGGGTGAATTTCAGGCTCAAAGCTTTGGTGGGCAAAAGTATCTGACTAGGATTTAACAACATTATCATTTTAATTGTATTCATTTTTATGGTAATGTGGTCCTGGCAAGTCTACTTTTCCACTTACAGTATGATATAAAACTCCTTTCTAAATCAATTTAAATTAATAAGTGAGTTAATCGGAAGGCACGTAGTAAACAAAATTACAGTTGGTAGAGGGCGACTGGCCAAAACTGCCAAGATTGCACAAGAGTGAGGGAGGACAGGAGGACTGGGGGACTCGGTCTTTTTACAAGAGCCAAATTTAGGCCCAGAGGTTATGTAACTTGCCTAAGACCACGCACCAAATAGCAACAGAGGCAGGAGAAGATCCAGGCTTTTGTCTCAGGCTTTTTTTTTTTTGGGCCAAGGTCTCACTCTGTCACCCAGCCTGGAGTGCAGTGGCGAAAACATGGCTCACTGTAGCCTCAAACCCCTGGGCAATCCTCCCACCTCAGCCTCCCAAGTAGTACAAGAGCCACCGCAACCAACTGATTTAAAATTTTTTGTGTAGAGACAAGATCTCTCTATGTTGCCAAGGTGGTCTTGAACCTCTGGGCTCAAGCGATCCTCCTGCCTCAGCCTTCCAAATTGTTGGGGTCACAGGCTCGAGCTAGGCTCTCAGCCTCAGGGCTTTTTCTTACTGTAATAAATATTTTAGATCCACCCTGGGGCAGTAAAGATTATGCGGACCCAGCCCTCTGGTCCCCCCATCCCACCCCCGCAGTTCCCTATCCCCTGACCCTCACCATCACAGTCAGGGCAGCAGTCGCCCCTGGCAGGGAAGGGGCACAGTGCAGGGGCACATGCCTTGGGCTCGCAGCTCACGCTGCCCTCCCAGCAAAGGCAGAGGTGGCAGGCGGCAGTGGTCGATGGGAAGCGCTCCCCGCTGGCAAACTCCTTCCCCTGGTACAGGCAGCCTGGGGAGAAGGGCAGGGGCTGGGGGCCGTGG